AAAAAAAAAAAAAAGGAGAAAAAAGATAAATAGGTTTCTTGGCCAAAGAGAGGTGCCAAGTCATTTTCTATTGTCCCAACTTTATATATATATATATATATATATAGATGGTTAAAGGAAAAAATATATAACAAGACCCTATCCAGTTCTAAAATGTCGTACACTTGTAAAGTATTTTGATATTATTGTCCCGCCAATTTAAAAGATAAAGAAAAAAAATCTAGTTGATTGATCTATTGGTAGGCATCAACTAATAATTAACAAAATTTATTCACGTGATTATCTGTTGATAATGAAAGTAAATGGATAATAGCTTGAAATTTTCAGAAATTGATAATAAAAAAATTTGAAAATAAAAAAGGTACTGCGGTTGAAGCTTAAAGAAATATACCATCTCTTGCTAGTGTAAAGCGGCAACTGGCACGGATAAGATTTCACTCTTTTTTTTTTCTCAAAATTATTTTAAAGATTGAAATTCAAACAAATAGGAGTTCAAGATCTTTTGCTCTGTGGATAAGAATTACTATTGTCAACAACAACTATTCTCGTAAAGGTTTTTTTTTAGTAGTACTAGTTTTTGGCCACGCGCATTGTACGTGTACCTTGATAAATGAATATTAAAAAAAATCTTAAATATATAGGATAAAAAATAATTTTTTATATTGTAATATTAATTATTAAAAAAGAAAAAGCTATGAACATATTAACTTAGTTTAATTTGTATGTTAGTTCTGAGTAGTTAATTGTCTTAACCTAGATCTTATGCTATAATATATATTAACTCAGAGTAGTTTTTTCTTTTTGGAGATTTTGTAGTTGAGCATCTTGAAATTTGTTTGCTCATCAATCCTTAAATATATTACTCGTGTATCGAAAGCCTATCTCATCATGATACCCTTTTTCTTCTTCAAGTTTTAGTATTCACTATGTAAATAATTCTCTAGACATGTTTTAGTCATAGAAAATTAGATTTTTTCCTTCGCTTCTAGTCACATAAGTTTGAATTCATCTTTCACAGAAGTCACTTCATAATTTTATAATTTGTGAAAATCAACATATTCAAATAAACTATATAAGATAAAATTAAACTCCTAAATATTAGAACTTCGTATCTAGATCAATTAAGGAACGATTTAACAAGCAAAATTTTAGTTGATTCTAAAGTCCTAAAATTTAGGAAAGTTACTTAATTTACGATTTTATCCAATAGAAAATATATTTTAGAAGGGTAAAAAAGGCGAATGACATTTTGTTAAGGGATTTTGTGCTCTTAATATAATATAGAAGATTAGATTTTCTTTCTAGCATGTCACAACATGATTAGGAAGTTGTGACTGTCGTTAATGTGGGCTCACCCTACTAACTGAACTTAATCAATATGCTCAAATTCATAATCAGGGTGGCGCTTCCCTAAAGCAGGTAAAGCAACTGCTTTAGGCCCTACATTTGTGGGAGCCCCATCTTTTGTTACACACAATAGGTTATATATAAATTTTAAAAAAAGTTATGTGTTTGATTTCTTTTTTTTAATAAATATAAAGAGGAAAGATCTGCAATTGCTATGATTTTTGCCAAGGAGTTTGCATCTGAAATAAATATCAAACTTGAATTTTGTATGGAACGTGTGACATATACGAAGAAAAAATTTGATGAAATGATGATAATGAAATATCAAAGTCTCTCGAAAAGTCTATTTGTCACGACCCTAAACTTGGACCCGGTCGCGATGGCGCCTCTCGTAAATACAAGGCCAGCCGACAC